GTCACTCCTGTAAATACTGCTACTACTGCTGCTGCTATTGCTACTGCTGCTAGTGCTGCTGCTACTAGTACTGGTACTAGTACTAATACTACTACTGCTACTACTACGACGACGACGCCGGCGACGACTACTGGGCGGGGTGCATGACCCGAAGTCAAATGATCCAACCTGTACATCTGACCATCTTTGATCTGAAGGTCAGCATATTCCCATCCACGATGTGGGTCCTCTTTGGAAGACAGCAACCACTCCTGGGATGAAGCTCACAGCTCACACCCGCATGATTCGAAAGGTAATCTTCCGAAACCATAAGCAAAGTGGCAGTACTACTTGAACTAGCAATGATAACTTAATCTTAGTACCTACAGTAGTACATCTATTCGTATTTACCCCCTGCACTTGCATACCTTCTGTTGGTGCAACGGTCGGCTTAAATTAGGCGGCAAAGTACGAGTGCTCCAGGCCTCTCAAAAGTTACGTGCCGATCCCGAATAACAGGAAAGGATCTTCACAGCGATCCCCATACAATCCGCAATAGCGGAATTAGTTTCATGTTGTTTTTTCATTCCTTCATTTCCTGCTCGCCACCAGTTTTTCTTTTTGTCATTCCTTCATTTCCTGCTTGCAACGAGTAGGGTTAGGTTTTTGGCGAAAATTCTCTGCTTAGAGCTTCATGGAAAGTCATACAGTAATCAGGCTTGTAAGAGCCCAAGCCAGGGTTGTAGAAGTCTGATTGTCCTAGTCCGACTCCCACTCATACCCTCCCATCCCTATATGTGCCCATGAAACGCTAAAATCTGAATGACACAGTAGTTCAACTTTTCCTTCCCACCCCCCTACATAACCCCCATAGTACGAACCCGCAATAAGCTGGCCGAGGCGCAAGGTCACGCTTCACCCAGAGCCAGTGGCCCTGGAACTCCTGGGCTACCACATGGGCAGTTCCCTGAATTAGCGTCCCATTTTTGTACCCCTAAATACTACCCTAAATATTAGCTGCCGTAATATAATCCATAACCAAGAGGGGCCCATAATTTTGGGAACAATCTATATTCTGGGTATACAGGGTTTAGGGTTTGCGGTTTAGGGTTTAGGGACCCATATTATGGGTACATAGTACATAATCAAAAGTTAATTTAAGTTCCTTAACAGCTGCCCAGACTCCTGATAGAACAGAGACATGAAGTCGTCATCTTTGGCACGGTCCTTCAGCGGAAGGGTGCTGTAGAGGCCAATATTCCTGGACCCTTTTAAACCCTAGACCCTAATAAACCCTACACCCGAAGCCTCGAACCCCAAACATATGCAGCAAGTCGAGGGCTGATGTGGAAACGGAACTTCCGCTTTCTCCCTGAATGTAGCATTAAAACTTCCTGAAGGCGGCGACTTGTGCATATGACAGGGGGACAATTTTGCACTGCCCAAATCCCCAAACCCTCTGTACGTTATGGAATCCATAATACACACGCTATCCTGGACCAGCACCAGTAAGCCCGCAGCACTATACACAAACCCGTGTGCCGTACAACCCTGTAGAGCCTTTATACCCGCACTCCACGACTGTACAAAAAATGTGCAATCTTCAAGCTTCATAGAATTCATAGAACCCGAATCTACTGTAATCCTTTTGAACTCAGAGCAGAGGCCCTGAACCCTAAACCCTAACCTACATCCTAAATCCCTGCACGTTTTCCCCAAGACTCTGATTGCAGGCAAGTCTCTGGCCAAAAGCCTTCCAGACTCTCCTGGATTGCTGTCAGGGAAATAAACCTAAACCCTACACCCTATATACCCATTATTTCAATCAGGAAATAAACTTAAACCCTACACCTACACCCTATATACCCATTATTTCAATGACATAACTTGAGTTCATGAACGGCAACCCAGTCTCATCCAGGATGCGTCTCCAGGGCTTAGCCTTGTCCTCAACGCGATTTTTTGCAGGTCTTGCAAGGTTGAAGTTTAGGATTTAGTTGTTTGTTTTGCTGAGGACCTTCATAAGTCAGGGCTACGAGGCCGAGTAAAGCTATAACTTGGCTGCGACACTGGGCAGTAGTAGCAGGAGCAATTGTAGTAGTCACAGCAGGAGTAGCAGTACTCCTGCTCCTACTCCTACACCTCTTCTTCCTGCTCCTACTGCTGCTACTACTACCATAATAAAACAAGGATGACGACCACGACCACCTCCGCCGCCGCCACCATCACCAACGCGACGACCACCACTCACAAGACTGAGGACGGTCAGGGAAGCCCCCCGCACCTACATGCTGCTGAGTCTCTCCCTATTTCCCAAAGCATCTGCTTGACTAAACGTCCAATACACAGGTGCTGTGACTCAGGTCCAGGCATCACCGGAGAAGTGCACTATCTTTATCTTGCTTTGGTCCTGCCATGCCAGCCGATAAGATTGATTTCAACGCTTGCTCACCCACTGCTGGTAGCAGCATACAGCAAGCAGCTTTTTCGACAGCAGCAGGGAAGCACACCTGCAGGGTGGGTCGCACTAGTTAGTTCCATAAAAGGAGCGTAAAACCCTATAGCTACATGTGACAAACTGAAAATCTTGCAGTTCAGCTTATATCGAATCGCCCCAAATATCCCCAAATATTCGGAGCCCCTATTAGTAAGAAGGTCTCCAAACAAGGACTGCGATTCTGACAACCTACCATATGAGCTTACAACGAGCAAGGCTCGGTATATGGACTTGCCTCGAGGAGCCGAATCCGATGTGCTCCAGCAACCTCTGGACTGCAGGATCTACTAGGCAGGTATGTGGCGTTCTCTGGGGTGGTATAAGGGCATACAGGGATATATCGGAAAATTGATTGATTGATTGATTGATTGATTGATAGGTTTTTTTTTTGAGAGAGGATAGCGGACATTTCGATCCAGCCCACTGGCTCATTCGAGCCCCTCCACCTTGAGCTGTGTCAGGAAACTGACACCCGGGAAAGGGT